GTTGAAATTGAATTGTAAGGAAAAGGAAGAAGATCGTGATAAACAGAGGCCGACAACAGTCGTTCGTACATGCTTGGGAAGATAATCATCACAACTTTGCATGTACTGCAGTCAGCCAAAACGCGCACATTGAAGAAGAAGAAGAAAGAAGAAGAAGAAGAAGAAGAAGAAGAAGAAGAAGAAGAAGAAGAAGAAGAAGCAGAACAAGAAGAACAAGAGTGATAAGCAGACGAAGAATTGAAATTGAAGCGGAAGAAGAAGAAGACCAAGAAGACCAAGACGAAGAAGAAGAAGACCAAGACGAAGACGATGACGACGAAGAAGAAGTGAAAACAGGGGGGCCCAACTGCCTTTCGCACATGCATCTGAAGATTTAAGCAGTACAACTTGGCGCGTACAAAGTCTCAGTTACACGCAGGGAGGAGACAAAGAATTGAAATTGAAATTGAATGTAAGAAAGAAAATGAAGAATTGAAATTGAACTGTAAGAAGAAGTGTATTTTTCATTTATGATCAGATGTCAAGAATCAAACACCCGACCTCTCTCATGGGAGTCGCACGCTCAACCGAACTGCTAAGCTGACTGGGATGAAAGGTAAGCCCCAAGACGGACACTTTTTTTGTTAAAACCCCATTTCTCTGCCGTGTCCAGGTCACACTCCCACCCTGTGTACCCAATTACACTCACACCCTTGTGTAGCCGGTCGCACTCGCACTCGTACCCGACCCGATAAGACCCAACCAGGTCGTCGACGCAGACACACTACATTAGAGCCCCCCCCACCCGCGCCGCCCCCCGCGTGCGCTCTATCGCCCTGCACCCTTGATGCGCCAATTTATGTTAGTTCTCTGGGCTCCTTTGCTCTCTCCCCCCCCAATTCGCGCAGGGCCATGGTAATGAATGTTCTCTGTATTGTTCCACATCAAAGTTTATACGTTTAATTTATTAACTCTTACAGAAGTCTTCATTAGTTTTGTTTACTCTCATCACCTTATTGTGGATGTACCTCCCCTCCCCCCCCCCCCCCCCCTTTCACCACTCGTATCCAGCAACTACCGGTAGCTATGCTATGGGTCTACGTACACCCCGGAATTGGCGAATTGCTGATGAACAGGGTTATTAACAAGGGCACGACACTAACAGTAGTACTTTTCAACTGCATCTGGAAGTAAAGAGGATCAGGTACATCCAAGGAAGTCGGAGAGTAGTGGTCTTAAGAGTTTGAATGAGAAGAGGAAGGGTATCCAACTCTCTTTCCGGCCAGATTCTGTCGAGAAGTACCAGTGCTAGTAGCATCCGCTAAAAGTAATTTGGAGAAGGGAGGGGAGGAGGAGGAAGAGGAGGAGGGGAAGGAGGAGGAGGAGGAGGAGGAGGAGGAGGAGGAGGAAGAAGAGGAGGAGAAGGGGGAAGGCGGTAGTGTAAACGTATTGGGAGAATGGTCGATGAGGAGATCAAGGGCAGCTGGTCAGTAATTTTCTATATTTTTTGAATTTTTGTTCCCTGTTTTCTCGATTTATGCGTGTCATCCTTGGATGCACAGGGGCCATGCTAATCTTGTCCTTCTCTGTATCGTTCCAATTTTGACGGATGTCCTTGGAAGGATTAGGTCGGTATTTTTTCCTGCCTTGAATACTTCAGCTCTAGGGCCAATTTGACTTTTGCTAACCTTAAAAAAAAAAAAAAAAAAACTTCTTTTGTTTTGTTTTTTTGGCTAATATTATGATTAAAAAACAATCTTAGTTGTAGGACCGAATATAGTGAAATAAGTTCAAATAAGTTGAAATAACTCTTTTTTTTTTTTCCGTTTTTTTACAAATCAAGGGGCCCTGAGGGCTTCATCATTATGCAAAATTCAGGGGCAAATGAGGCCTGGAATCCCTCAACTGGGGCCACAGCCCAGCCCAGCTCAGACAGGTGTTGGGAATGGCCAACACACAGACCGCTGCCCTGACATGTCCACAAACCTGAAAGGAAATAAAGATGCCTACAAGGCCAGGGAAGCCAAACAAATCGTCACTACCACCCCTAGCTGGAATTGCACCTTCACGGTCTCAAAAGCCACACAGTACTTGAAAAATAATGATTCCACCTATCTTATCACAAGATTAATGCCTGCAAGGCCAAGGGCAACAAAACAAAAGAAGAGGGTGAGAGATAGGAAACGGAGGGAGAGGAGGAGAGTCAGGGGGGTGAGGATGAAGGCAGGAAAGAGAAAGGGGGGGGGGGGGGTAGAAACCAGAAGATATCACTCTCCTCATCTACTTTACTAGATTCAAAGTAGCTTCTATCTACTGCACAAGTAAAAAAACTATCCCCACCTAAATCGGTGGTAATCTCAGCATGAGACTTCTGCTGTTCGCCTAAACGCTCCCTCCGGGCCCCTAAATCTCTGCCTGTCTACTGAGACCGACCCTGCAATCAAGCGTGCAGGTTGAAGCTACCAATCTACCCTTTAAAATTTAAATAACCAGTCTTTGAAAACCGGCTCCTCGTTTTCCACAGAGGCCAGTTCAAATAATTCTTCCTGTCTTGTCTCCCCAACACCACTTCCCCCCCCCCCGAAAAAAAAAAAAATCCTTGAAATAATAAGCAAAGTTAGCAAACTAACTTGTTAAAATATCCTAAAAAAGAAAATTTAAATTGTGTGAAAGGAAGGAACCCAATTTGAGGTGGGTATTTTTTTTCCCACAATTCTGGCCTCAGCAGGTATGGGAAACGTTGTAGCTCAGTTGGTTAGAGCACTGGTTTTGCAAAGGGGGAGGTTGCGGGTTCGATTCTGTAGACCGTCAGCCTCCGCTGAGCACACGTTGTCAGTGTTAGGTTGGGACAGTACGGACAAGTTGAGATGTTACTACGCATGGGACTGTCCCTTTTACGGTCACACGGGACAGTAAAAGGGATAGTTAGCGGGCGGTACTATCCCGCGGGACTGTCCCATGGGGCACCCCTTGGGTGGGAGGTATCTCATGGGATAGTAAACAGGGGGGAGTGACAGTATAAGGGATGGTAGGGGTGGGGGGGGTAGGGGGGAAGAGGGGGAGGCACTGTCCCACAGGGCACCTGTTGGGGGGGGGGGGGGGGGGGGTATCTCATGGGGTAGTAAACAGGGGGGAAGGAGCATTGGCTTACCCGGGCCTCATTATGAAGAGTTTCCCGGCCTCATGGTCCACCCATGAGAGTCCATACCTACATTGTACAATCCTGCATCCCAGGTAGACCCGGCTCTCTGCACACACCCTTGAGTAGTGGTAGTGGTTGGGTGCTAGGCATATACGATTCCCACGGTCGGGCTTCAGGTTGACCTCACGATGCTTGTGGGCTGGGCTTCATCCGGGTTGGTACCTGTCTGAGTTCCCACTGAGGGTTCGGTTGGGGCGTGGGTCTGGGGAAGGGTTTCTAGGTAAGGGTGTCATCTTAGGCAGGGGAGGGAGGGTTGTCGCATTGAATGTAGAAGGGTGGCTTCGCTACCCATAGAGTCTGTACGATGTGATACAGGTTTACCTAGCCTGTATCCAGTCGTCCTTGAGGATTCAGGGTGTCCCTATGGTGGTAGCACCCGGGGAGACGTGTCTGTGCTCCTCAGAAGGCACGGGTTGGTGTAGGTCTAGGTCTAGGTCTAGATAGAGGGGTCTGGGGCCACTGCTATATAGGGCCCGATTTGCGATAAGATTAGGATATAACAGGTCACGAGTGATGCCCTCTGGAGAAAGACTGTCCCTGGGGTTGGCACAAGCCATCTGATCCCCTCACTGCTTGAGTACGACGACAGGCACCTCCGGACGCCTAGCATCCACCCTCTACTACGACAAGGGCCTTCTAAAAGAAAAGAAAAAAAACGATAGGGTGGACATGAAGGCAAACGAGGGTATATAGGGGGGCAATGCAAGGATAAGGGGACAGGGAGTGGTTAATGGGGTGTAATGCGACTTTACAAGGAAGGAGTACGCAGCAGAACGGCTGCAACAGAATAGGAAAAGGGTAGATAGGGGTATTACTAGGGAGGCGGAAACAAGGATGGCAGTGGCCACGTAGGCGGCAGAGATAGGAAAATAGCAGGATAAAAGGCTGCCTGACGAACTGCACAGACGACCCTCCCCCCCCCCCCCCCCCCCCCCCCCCCCCCCCCCCCCCCCCGCCCTCCCCCCCCGCGCGCGGCCGGCCTTTGGAGTTTGACCTGCTGCGTGACTGGGTGCTGCTACTAAGCCTCCCGGCCTGTAGGCCACCCCCCTAGGAAAGAGGCCGAGGCCTCTGTAGCAGTACGCCTCCCGGCCTGTAGGCCACCCCCCTAGGAAAGAGGCCAAGGCCTCTGTAGCAGATCCCCCCTTGCCAGGTGTCTAGAACCACGAAGGTTGGGCTGTGCCTCTTTTTTCGTCTCTTCTCCCCCTGCCTCTCCGTTGGATGTAAAAATCTTGCTTGCTGGTAATAAGCAACCGGACTGTTGCCCCCCAGAATAGAAGGGGGGGCCTTTGTGTTTTTTGAAAGAAAAAAGATGCATAGCGATGATGACGCAGAAAAAAAACGACAACGCTGGGTCTGTGCATGTTTATTTTCGTCTGTTTTGCGTTTTTGTGTGGGAGCTGTAGGCAGATAATTCTTATTGTTTTGTTGTCGTAAAAAAGAAAAAAAGAAAGAAAGGAAAAAAAAAGGTATCACACCTCGTGTCAAAAGTGCCTTGTGCAACATTGCTCGCATGACAGTGCTTGAACTACCGTCTTCGCCCGAATAAAACGCCCGCGGTCAGTATCACCCTGTATCTAGACTGGAAATTGCACCGAGTTCAGCTATAATGACCGGGCGTTCCATTCGGGGGAAGACGGTAGGGGGTGGGTGGGTCTTTCACCTGCAGTGATGATTTGATTGGAAAGGGATGTACGCTGATCCCTCTCACATGTGTCGTTGCGGGGTGGTGGGTGGTGATGGGTCGGATTTGAAGCGTTTCGGACGCGTTCATGCCTTATTTGGGGGGATGGGGTGGGGTTATCGCTGACTTGTTCTCCAGGGATCCGGACAGCTGCTGGCTGACCGAGCACAGTTTCAAGACATCGAGATTGCGAACACACTGTGTCTCCGGAAGACCCTCTTGTTAACCGAGAGTCGACCAAGAGTTAAGTGGTTCCGACACGCACAGAACAGACGCCGTGCTGGCTGTCAAATCTTGGTTGTCTGGAGCTGTGTGCGCGTCTTGGGTGTCTTGGTTAACCGAGAGTCGACCAAGCTTCTCTTTTTGGACGACTTGCCGCTTGTCGGGATGGATGGAGTCAAGGATATGTTGAAGTCATTAAAAAATCCATTCAAGTCGAAGTTTCAGGGCTCTGGACATCGTCTGGGTGGAGGGCCGGTTTCTGGAGATGGAGGAGAGAGTAGTGGGTCAGGTGGGCGGGGGGGGGGGGGGGGGGGGGGGGGGGGGGGGGGGAGGTGTAGGCGGGCAGCGCCCCATACCAGGCGTGATGAGAACCGGTCCTGCTGCTCAGCGTGCGGAGATGCAGTCGAGGTTGCAACAAGACGAGGCCCTGCGAAAGCAGCAGGAAGACTGGCGCCTTCAGCAGCAAGATAAGTGGAGGCAAGAGCAAAGTGGAAGTCGCAGTTCCTCGTCAGCATCCACGTCAGCGAGGCCACAAGCCACATCCGCATCCGTCGCGTCTCCTCCCCCGAGCGGGGGGGGGTTTGACCCCTTCAGCTCCATGGCTGTATCGCTCTCACGAGGGGCTACTCCTCAGCCACCTGTCTCCCAACCCACTGGGGCGCAAACGCCAGGCCAAAAGCAGCGAGGCGAGGATCGGACGACACATATGTCTACGCGGCCGTTGCCGGCGGCTAGCATGGATACGGAGAAGACGAACACAGAGTCGCAGCTGCAGCAGAGTCCTTTAGGCAACAGACTTGGGGAATTGCCAGAGAGAGCGAGCGGCGATGGTGCAAGCCAAGCGAGTGCGAATGAAAGGTCGCAGAAGCCTGCCAGTGTCAGGGAGGCAGGGATGATTCTCATTGCTGGGGGTCCTTCGATGGCGACCGTGGAAACGCTGTTGAAACTGATGCGCAACATCTTGGTGGACCCCTCCAACGTGAAGTTCAGAAGGGTGCGGTTGAGTAATCCTCGTATCCGTGAGACGATTGGGATTGCCCCTGGAGGCCTAGGCTTCCTAGAGGCAGTGGGGTTTGAGCTGACTGAGGAAGTGGGTAACGACGGGGCGTCCACCAAGGAGACATGGGCAGTTATGGAGATAGACGACGACTCTGCGGGATCACGTCTTGAAGCTCTAAGGGAGGCTGTGATGTTGCTCGAATCGTATGCGCAGAGGCATAGTCAGCCGCCACCTGGGCCAGTTGTATCTCTGCGGAAGGAGAAGACAGATGAGCCGGACATGCAGGACGAATGTCAGCCAGCACCTTCAGAAACGGTCGAGCCTTGTGACAGACAGGTAAGTTGCTGCAGGGGAGATTTGGGAAACGCCCCCTTTCCATCCCAGTCCCGTGGCATTGGAGCACCTTTCTCTATCTATTCTGATCAGTGGTTCTGAAATTGCACCTCACGGTCTATCGCAGCGTGTTCTCCACTTCAATTAGAATTTGTCCTTACTATTCTATTGGGGTACGTTCTCTCTCTCTCTTTCTCTCTCTCTCTCTCTCTCTCTCTCTCTCTCTCTCTCTCTCTCTCTCTCT